TTCATAAACCCTTTAAGGGTTTATGGCGTTGTCATAAACCCTTCAAGGGTTTAGCATGATTTGTAGAAAGGACAAGGGTTTATTATTCTACTCTTTTTTTTTACAGTGTACCAATACAGCTCAAGATACTGCTCGCATCTTAATGGAAGAAATTATTTTAGTTCATGGTTCACCAGATATCATTATTACTGATCAAGGAACACACTTCAAGAACGAACTGTTGCAAGCTATTTCAAATTTAGTTGGTTGTCAACACATTTTTTCAACACCCTATCATCCACAAACAAATGGACAAACTGAAAGATGGAACGCTACATTCGTAACACAAATTGCCAAATATTGTAATACTGATCAAAACAATTGGGACACATTTTTACCATCTATTGTCTATGCTTACAACCATGGTATACACAGTTCTACTGGATTTAGCCCTTACCAACTTGCATTCGGACGACAACCGCGCCATCCATTTAATCCACCTGCATCTACATTTGTTTTTAATAAACCACACGATTATTGGACACAAGTGATAAACTATAGAACTACAGTTTTAAAACAAGCAAAAGCAAACATTCTACATCAGCAACAACTATCAAAAAATCGTTTTGATAAAAATCGTTCACATCCATCTTTTGTTCTAGGTGATCTTGTATGGATGAAAATTTTAGTTGGACGGCACAAACTTCAAGCTAGATACACTGGTCCTGCTCGAATCATTCGAATTCTCTCCCCAGTATCATTTATCGTCGAAGATGACAATTTACAACAGTTTCAAGTGCATTCAAATAATATCAGACGTGTTTATTCTCGATAATCATTCATGACGTGATAGAGTTTTTTAGAACAAAATTCATTTGCTCGCATGAAATACTCTCACGGATTTTTGGCATTAATATTTTTTTATCTTGTTAATTTCAACATTTCTTCAATTTCATACCAACATGGCTTCAGCTATGTTTTTTTCTTTGCATTTTTTATTTCTCAAATACTTGTCTTTTCCAGTTCCCCATCGCATTACATCATTTTCCAATACAACACATTCGAGATGGGCGCTTTACAATTTTTATTCATATTTGTCATGGTATCATGTGCCACAGCTTTATTTTGTGGTGACAAAGTCAATGTTCAATTCGACACAAAATATGATAATAATCACAATGAACTGAAACAACTACTCGCTGAACACAAAACATTTACACCTAGCAACTGGACACACTATGTCTTACTGATACAGATACTCGTTAGTGCTGTGGTTTTCGTCATTATTTTTGTTTATGCTTATCGATATTGTTGGCCGATAATAAAGATCGCCTGCCGTGGTAAACGACTTAAAAATCGTATCAATGATTTAACATCAATTACAACGTCTTATATTCAACCACCATATGCTCACACACCGAATCCAGTAATTAATCAACCATTACATTCACCACTCAATCAAATCGTATCATAAACACTTTTATTCTTAATCAGCAGCTAACGTTTGTTTTTTTCTTCATTCTATTGAATTACTTTATCATCAGCTTTTCTCTTTATAATCATTTCGCTCGTTGTTTCTAGTGAACAATATGAATTATGTGAAGTTTTCGTTTTTACTCGTGCTATATATTTTTTTTTCTCTTTCTCGGTTTTTTTCTTCTTCTTCTCTTGGTGCTCGAATCGTTCCGATCTCGTATTTCATCATTACTTTGTAATTTTTTTTGGAGGGGGGAAGTGTTATGTCAGTAGAGACATCTCCTGACATAAGACGGCCGTCTTTATCCCTCTATCATAGTTATGAGATGGAACCGACTGGTGGAAGAGATAGAGAAAGAAAGAGAACAGGTTCTGTTGTTTTTTTTCGTTTATTCATTCGATTGTTTGTTTTGTGTATGAAAGAAGGTTTTGAAAGGAATAAACGAAGGAGAAGGACCTAACATTGCTGATTATCAGAATCGTGCGCTCTCGCTATCTATGTCTAAACATGGAATGTGCTGCACAGAACGTAATACGGCATATCAGCCGAAACGCAGGTAACGCACGGACGTTTTTTCAACTTTGAACGATTGTATCTAGATAACGGTAAAGGGAAAAAGCTTGTAAATTTCAACACTTATGTAA